CCCAATTTTAAAACATTCAGTGTTCCCATGTTCTGTTCGAACAACTGCTTCTTGGTCTAGGTACAGATTTCTTAGAAGTACAATTAAGTGTTCTATCCTTTGGTATGTGTACCTCACTAGTGTTGTCCCCTCTATGCACCCTACGTATTGCTTGGTTGAAGATGAGCTGTGAGGCTGAGTTCGGTTCCAGACCTGAAGAGTGAACAAAGGCCGCATCTCTAACCAGTATGCTTGGTCTGTTTATAATTCTTAGTTTTGTTCCACAGTTTCTCCCCTTCTATCTAGGATCTTCTAATGTGATAACTTTCAGAACAGTTGGCAGTGGTAGCTGGGCACCATCTAGTTCTTTTGTTCTCAGGGTCATGAAGACTGATGTTCACATGGTCCATTATTCTGTTGGACTAATTGTTTCCAAGCATCTTCAATTTTCATCACTCTTTTTTCCTTTGGACTGGTAGAGACCATTAGTAGCACCTTAGATCGCTGCTCATCAAAGTAGGATGTAGAACATTGTCTTTGTGGACTATGTTATGCTAGTTGGCCCTGGTGTCCCCTGATACTATGGGGAGTTACCAGTTTATGTCTGAGTGTATTCTACTTACAATCTAAATGAATTGTAGCAAAAAGGAAATTTGGTAAGAAACTTGAAATGATTGTGATTCTTGAAAAAACATTTGTTACTATGAGAGAAATTTGAGGAGTTTTAGATACTTCACAGCTGAAGCCAGTTTCAATCTTTTCTTCAAGAGTTGTATTTAAATCAGATATTATGTTACTACATATGAGAGCTTGTATATGCAACACAATCTGTGGATGCCTTTAAATCTATAAAAAGAAAGTCAGTTTGCTAATTTTACTGCAAGTTGATGGCTCTAAAGATAATGGAATTGATTGGGTGATTTTAATAGAATTGAAGTATATTGTTGTTGTAGTTAGGTGCCGTCAAGTAGATACCGTCTCAGCGATCCTGTGCACAACAGAACGAAACACTGCCTGGTCCTGGGCCAACCTCGCAATTGTTGCTACACTTGAGCC